GGTCCTATAAAGGCACCTTAATAAAAGCAAAGGCTGTATGTGGTAGCAAAAGGAAAACAAAGATTTTATTCTCTACTTCCCATTAACAGGTGATGTCCAGCCATTTCCTGGGAAGCAGGGCTTCAGTATGCACAGTTGTTGCTCTGGAAGACAAAATGTTGTAAAAAATGAATGCCCCTCTCCTTCCTTTCCCCTAGCTTTTATCCTTGAGGTGATGTCATATGGTATGGAATATTCCTTTGGTCAGTTTGGGTCAGATGTCTTGGCTATGTCCCCTCCCAAGATCTTGCCCCCCACCTCGGTGGGGGAGTGTTGGAGAGACAGCCTTGATGCTGAGCGCTGCTCAGCACCAGCCAAAGCACTGGTGTGTTATCAACACCTTTCTAGCTACCAACAGAAAGCACAGCATGATGAGGGCTGCTATGAAGAAAACCAACTCCATCTCAGCCTGACCCAATACAAAAGGTGAAGGTCATGCTGTTCATCCCAGATTCACCATGCTGCAATGCTGGGGATTCATGCACAGTGCTGTGGGTTTTTTCTGGTTTCCCATTCTTATGTCCCAGGTATGAGAACTCAAAGGCAACCTGCTGCTTGGATGCATCCTGGTTCTTCTCGGGTTCCCTGCACTGTGGATATGGGCCCCCTTTTCAGATGATACTAGGGACCTAGCTCCACTCAAGTCATGGGTTATTGCTCAAGTCCTTCACTGAAAATCCATTTCACTAAATATTTCTTATATAAATGTCTTCTGTGATTATTTTCTGGAAGCAATTCCTAGAGCAAAGTGTCAGTGGGTGTAGAAGTATTGTGTTGCTGTAAGAAAGAGCAGAGCTGATGTAAGAAAACACGTTATCCAATGTAAAATGAAAGTGGAAACTTCTTGTATAATATGTTGAAAGGGTGTTATTGGGTAAAGGTGTGGCTTCTGAAAATGGAACATGGGGAAGACCCTAATATCTTTATTTTTTTTAGGGGAAGAAAGATTAAGCAAAACTGGTTTACAATGGATGTGTAAAGTAGCAAGGATTAAGTGTATTGAAGTAGGCTATCTGGTCAGTTTTCTGACTGTGATGGGGGGGGAGAGAGAGTATATGATTTTCTACTGTAAGGTGTTTTCATTTCATGTGATGCTACGCATCCATAGGACTTTTTGTTCTGGTAGCTTGGCCTTTGGTCCGAAAAAAAAAACCCCAACACTTTAAATATGAAGCTAAAGCAAAGAAATCTAAAGACTTCTGGAGCAGAAAGGAAGCTATGGAGCAATGTTTTTATTTAAATGAGATAATGTAACCATATTAGCTAATGGTAGTTTAAGATAACTTAATTTTGCATGATCCTTGACATTTTTAATCTTTCATCTTGTGTCACTATCAGTTTTATGTCCCCAAAGCTCTGGCCAGCATTTATCATAGTGCATTAGGGACATGTTTCAAAATACATCCTGTTTGATGCATTTGTAAGATAAGATGAATTGTCAGTATTTCTATACAAGCCTTCACACTTCTAGACAGACCTTTCTTTTTTATCTCTGTTTCAGTTTTTTGTATCTGGGGTGACTATGCCAAAATCTGTCTTTCAGCCAGTCCCTGAAGAGAAGAAACGAAGCCCTGGCTAAAGCTAACAGGCAAAGGAAGCAGAGCTGAGGAAAGATTATCTTTGCTTGTGGGTAAGTAATTACAAATACATTTTGCTTTCTGAATCGGTCTTTGACACCAATGCTGCCAGCCTTTTTAGATAGTAACAAGTTTTCAGTCCTTCTCCATTTTAACAATAATTAAAAAAATCTTCCTTAATCTTTAAGGCATGCTAACTAGGCATGCTAACTACTTTACTTTCCATATAGCATTCTTGTGTTTGCTTATTCCTAATACAAAGAAAATAATGAGACTAAAGATATAATAATAGGTAGATAGGTAGAAGATGATAATCTTCTGAAGGACAAATTCAATCTTTATATTGGAGTATGTCCACATTTGGGTGAATGACTGATTGTATTTGAATATAAACCCTTTGAAATCTGTCCAACTACATAAGCAGTAAGTTGCTGTGTAAGAACAGGTGGCAGAATTAGGTTCTACTTACTTTACAAACCACTTGTAATTGATGCAAATTAGAATCCGGCATAGGATGCTCTGGTGAATGGGGAGTGAGCTCAGTGAGATCTTGAGAGAGGCAATAGTTCTGGCTTGACAAATCCTACTGTTAACCTTCCAGTCTGCCAAGTTCCTGTCCCCATAGCAGAATAAGCTAAAGGCAATGTGTGTCCATGTCTCTTCATAAAAGTTCTGTATCTTAGCTCAAACTGGGCATGAGGGTGGTTTTAGGTGGGGATGCAGACCTATGAAATGGAGCTCCTAGCTTTCCTGTAGGGATGGGTTTAACATTCTGCAGAAAGGCAGGAAAGAGGAATGGGGGAAGAAATAGTTTGAAGTACTGTTATGGCAAGATTTATGAGAGTTTGTGTCTGGAGTCCTGAATTAAGTATCTCCCTGTTCCAGAATTTGTGTGAGCTTTTTCATGTAAGCTTTGTAGCCTATGATCAGTTTTGTTTTTTTTTTTTCCCCTGGCACTATACATGCTTTGTTTCCTTTAATTTATTTTTATGCATCTGATTTTCATAATTGTTTAGCTTTTGCCTTTTTTGGAAACTATTCCTGGTAAAGTATATATGCTGCATTTAAAATAGAGAAAACCAGATAAACAGAGCAAACTATCAAGGTCCTCACAGATTTAATGGTGCTTCTTTTAAATTTTTTTGTGTAGGATTTAAAAATTTGTTTGACTTACAAGACAATGTTCAAGACTTTAATTGAGAGTGTTCTTATTTTGGGGGATATTAGCATAATCTTTTCATTGTTTTCTTATTTTGGCTGTAAACATACCATTTTGCATTGTTTGTTTTAACTTTTTGTTATACTAACTACTTTCAGGGTGGAAAAATTGCGTAGTGCATTATACCAGCTCTTCCTTTGGGAAGATAATGTTCTAAAATGGACAGATACAGTGTTGCAGATTTAAAATTATCAGATATTGAAGAAGTAATTAAATACCAGCTCTACATAGGTTTGTTGAACTTAAAAAAAGCTGCTTGCTTTTTCTGTTGACACACTAGCTTTGTCAAGTTTTATGGAAGAAGGTTGTTCTAAACAGATAGAGATGTTGCTTGATAAAGTTTAAATGTTTCATTTTCTGTTTTCCCTTCTGTACCTTTTCCTCTCTGCATAGACTGTGCTTCTTGTTCCCCTACCCTTCCGCTCCCAATGTGTCTTATTCTGATACTGCCATTTTTTGCTGTTTTCTTGTGGTAGGCTATATTCTTAATATAATATTAATTCTACGAACAGAAACTCTGCTGGATATGTGAAGACTTGAACTAAGTATGTGAAAACACCATGATTATTCTTGGTTCTTTTATCAGACTCCGTGTTGTTTTTAAAATGATCTTTTGTAAACACCATTTGAAAAATACTGCAGGTTCTACCAAATCCCGTATCTCACCTGATATTAGGAGTTTATTTGACCCCACTGTCCTTTAAGTGCTGTCATTCCAGACCCTGAGTGACAAAGCCTGCTGGGCCTGTATGGAATTTGATCTTTCAGCATGTTGCAAATTGCAATTCTACAAATGATTTTAAAGAAAAAGAATAAGAACAGTTATTAGGTTTTAATTTTCATTCAGTACGTAATGGATGTGGCATTAACTGAAGATTGTTTTGTCATATGTGACCTTGAGCTATAATAACACCTTATTCTTCATTAATAATAAAGATTTGATTCTTTCATGTTATTGTTTTCTTTTTTCCCTAGCTTGTATAGCTGCCTCTACCCAGTCAGTGTGTGTATCTTGGCTCAAAATGCAAGATTAAGGGATGTTGCCTTTGTTGTCTGAAGACTGGATGGAGAAATAATTCTGTGTGCCATAGTTTGAGTTTTGTATCTTGAGCTCTGTCACTGAGGCTTGCTCTGGAGGGAAGTGTGACTTTCAAGTATCTGGTGCCACAAAAGGGTTTTTGACATAATTAAAACATGGCTTTCTCAAGGCTTTTCAAACAAAGCTTTTCTTTTGTTTTTGTGCTGAGCTTTATCTGGAGTAAGTATCAAGGTTAGCAAGCCTTATAGAGGATGTTATGTGGTAACACTTAAGATAAAGCATGAAACTGATTGGGAGCCCACTATCTTAGGGTGCTGTGAGCCGTGGACCCAAACATATCCTATTTTCTGGCTTTAATAGCAAAGAAAGAAGTTAGTGATGCTAGTCTTGTTCTTTCTGCTGTAACACTCAAACTGGTAGCAGGACTGGATGGAGACACAGTTTAAACCTCTATTTTAAGTCATAGAATCATAGAATGTTTTGGGTTGGAAGGGACCCCTAGAGGTCATCTAGTCCAACCCCTTTATATATCATACTTCCCTTGCTTTGCTTGCTACAGAATTTCTTGGAACTAATTCTTCTTTAACAAGTTATAGGAGATGTCAACACCTCTTAAACACTTTAAAGGTGGTAGTGTTCAGCTGTAATCAAATACAGTGCTACAAGGTAGATGTGCCTGAATACGTATGAAGTGTCATTGACTAAATTAATTGTAGCTGTAAAATTTAACAGAACCAGAGCACAGTTGTTATCAGAAAATCAGAACAAGATTAAGCAAATCCATTTTAAAATTTGACTTGTATTTATTTGCATAGGCAGAACTTTAAATTGAGAGATTTTATTAAAAAATTTATCATGAATATTTCACAGGACTATTGTCTGTAATTCAGTATCACTTCTTGCAGTTAAAGTATTTTTAAGGAAAAAAGACTACTTTTTTTACCTTTAGGGCTTAAACATAGTTAATGCATTTCTTTAGCTACAGTTACAGAAATGTTTCATAATATAAGTAGAATGTTTGCAAATCGTGTTTTCTGTCTTTTGGTAACCTGTATACATTCATAACTGTAAAATACACAAAAATTTTTTAAGCTTGTTAATGGAGGTTGGTTAGGCAGTTAATTCTTGAGTCTTCTTGAGTACACTTGTTTTTAAAAGAGCAAAGTAAGTCTTTAATCTTGCAGCCCAGGAATGTGTTGGAAGACTGAGGCAGCACAGAGGCTTGATAAAGTCATGTGGGATTTTGAAGTAATACATTATCCATCCACCTGTGGTAAATTTTAGTGCTGGAATCAAGGAAATAACACCAAAGTAGTTAGAAAATAAATATGTATATATAGTAAATAAGTTCGCTAAAAAGACCAGGATAAAGGAAACCAAACTGAAAATGTTTAGCAGTGCAGTCTTACTTCAGACAGATAACGTGATTGTGTGAGACTTGCTGGCAGAGCTGTCTGTATTGTTTGTAAATCCTGCTGTTTGTGTGCATCCAGCACTTTGTGTAGGTTAAAGGGGTTGGAATGAACTGTGTCATTTAAACTTATGTGGTGTGTTGTTTTTTCCTTTTACAACATGACAGTCAATACTGTACTCTGTGTAGGCTAGCTGCTTTTTCCTATACTTTTGTTTTATTTTTTCTGCTTTATTAGTATTTGCAACCCACATGATTTGTGCTTGAATGTAAATGATGATACAGAGTTCCTAAACAGATTTTGCTTGCTGTAACATAGGCTAGAATTGCAAATGTATACACTATATTGGGTTAATATTTCTTGAGAGATGAAGGGGTCTTCTGCTTCCTAAACCCCATTAACAGTAAGGCAATGCAACAGCCTAAATCACTAGCACATAAGTGGAAGAATAAAAAAATCTGGTCATTGATTTCTATTTCACACTGTCAACAGGAATGAGCTTCAGTGATAGGGAATCATATCAAAGCAATGAAGCATTATGTAAAAAAGCGTCAGAGTAAATAGAATTTACTTCTTGGTATAATTTGTAGGTCCTGTTTACATGGTTTTGGACATAATGGGCCTTTATTAGGGCGAGTGAGCAAACAGCAGTGTTTTAAAGTAGAAGAAAGTCTCTCAAGTGTTTTTTCAGGAGTGGTATTAGCACCTGGGTAATTCACAGGAATCTGTTTTACTCATTTTATCTTAAAATATGATAGTCTGTTATCCTGCAGCTATGTCTGTACTCAGTCAAGAGCTGAATTTAGAACCATTTCTTAGTTGTCTGGACCCAGCCAAAAAGAACCTGCTAGCACCTTTTTTAATTGGATGCCTAAAAGCGGCTCTGCAGAAATCTTCTCTGGCAAAGCAGAAGAAAGATGGTAGGAATTTTACTCATTTTCTGACACATCTCTCTTTAGTCTTGGACAAGTGTTGAGTGAGAAGGGGCAAGCAGACTGCAACATCACTTCACATTCCACTTCTGGATTTCAGAGCTCCATGAAGGATGTTTTTGCACTGCATGGGGGAAGAAAAATCCTGCTGCTCTGGCTCCCTGGTCACAAGGTTCACAGTGCTGTGGCACAGCCATCTGGGGCTTCTGAGCAGCTACAGCAAAGGAGATCTGAGGTGTGGTAATAAAGGTTGCAGTAACACTATTCCACTTCCATTGTTTTCATGTGTTCTCTAACACAAAATAGAAGGAGGTGCTAAGAGTAGACTTCTTTGGTTATACCTACAAAACTTTTTTGACCTGTATGTGATAGATTTGATCAAAGAAAATGCCTTTCCCAACAAGAAATGCTTTGAATCTGCCTTAGAGTAGGAAGGATGTAAGGTGGCCAA